TTTGTATGTAGATGTACCTATCTTGGTATAACAGTGATATACCTATGTATCTTTTGATAAACTATGAGAATTAGCAGAAGCTCTATGGCTCTCTGCACTTTTGTAACACTGTAATTTTATTTACCTTAGAAGAGTTGGCAGCTCTTGGGGTATTTATTAGGACCTTCTGGACACTAAGAAAATATAAATAACTGAAACCACAGTGACACTAAAGGTACACACACAACCTTGCCATAAAGCATAGAGCCAGATTTACTAGGAGGTATAGTAAATATGTTTAAAAATATGATTGTAAGAAATGGAAGTTGTTAGCCTAAGAAAAGGCTGAGTGAAGATATGAGAGCAGCTTTTGTATGTATTAATTAAAGGTTGATGCAAAGAGAGGTGTAACCAATGTATCTGTAAGTAAATCGTCCTCCAGCTCCACTGGGGATAGGACGGGCTTGAATCAAAGCAAAGGAGCTGCAAGTTAGATATAGGAAAACCTTTCTAGCCATGAGGTTAGAGAAACGCTGGAAAGGAATTGCCTGAGAAGGCTAGAAAACCCCTCTGGTGACAGAGATTCTATGAAATTCTGCTAAGAATGGTTTAGATGTACTTAATCCCGTGACAGAAAGATGGATTAAATGATCTCTTGAATTGCCTTATTTTCTGTTATTCTATACAGAGTGCTAACTTGTGAGGCAGTGCTGATGTATTTAATAAATTCTCTTGCTACCTCCTTTTGTTCTTTCTAATAACCAAAATATACAAAGTGTGCAATGTTTTTCAAACATCTCTTCTAAACATAGCTTTTCTTTTCCTTCAAAGTGAGGGAAAAATTATTTCTACATAAAAATCTTGCCACATGAAATGGTTATTTCTCTTGGCAGCTTTTCTTTCCAATGATTCACTGATTCCCTTCAAGAAAAGACAGCTAGATAAAACTGTAAGGACAACCAAAGCAATGTACATAGCAGCAGAATAAGAGCTAAAATGTCATGGTGTGTAAATAAAAAGTAAAATCTGGTGTAATGATCTGATAAATATAGCTGGTCCCTGCATCTAATGTCCGTGGTGAGGTGGGAGGTTAAAGGCAAACGAGTTCAGTTTCTGTAGTGGTGTTATTAGAAGTTCCAGTGCAATTTCAGGTTCTTTGTCGTCAGAAAAAAATAAAAGCCACCCACCTGCTCTGTCTCATATTAATGTCTGTTCTCTTTGGTCATAACATTACTGCACCTTTCCTTTGAACGTTGCTGTCTTTGAATCATTCATTGTTGCATCTTCTGCAAGGGAAAGCAATATTCCTAACATAATCCTTATTCTGTGAAAAGATATGAAAGCACTTTAAAAACATGAGTAAGGACCATTTCTTCTGTTTCATAGTAGACGTGTTGAAACACAGAGTGAAAAAAAAAAAAGCCTCTAAAACTGTAATTCCTCAACCATTTCTTTAGTCTGCTTTATGATGTAGCTGCAGAGATATCTGTGATTTCTAGCAGAAGGGAGGAGGTGGTGTGAGGCTAGGGATCTCAAAGGATATGGGAGAGGATGGGCATTCTCCTTCCTTCCACAGGGATCACAAATAAGCTTAAAGTGGTGCGTTAAAAATTGGTGCATTAGACCAACTTTCTAATCGTTGATTTACAGAACTAGAAAGAAAACCTAATCTCTTAGCCTCCAGACCCTCAAATTTTACTAAAAAAAAAAAAAAAAAAAACAAAAAACAAAAAACAAAACCAACAAAAAAGAAACTGCAACCAAACATACCTTTCCTCTTTCCTTCAAATGTAATTCTCTAATTTTAAAATGCCCTGTCAGTCTTAACTAATAATAGTAATAAAAAATTACTCAGCTAGATCACTGCTAATTACCATGTTTCAATCATCTCTCTTCTGTGGCCTAGCATTAGGAAATACTTTGTACGATCTAGGCACTTTATTTTAGCATACCACTGTTCTGCCCATCTCTTCCGTCTGGCTGATTAAGCTCTAAGAGCTCAGAAACGTCCCCATGATACTGCACTATGACTGCCTTAGTCAGACAACAGCATATAAAAAAGTTTCCAAATGGTCAAGGAGTGAATGGTTAGTTGTATCTCTGTCCTCCTAAAAATGGTCATATTCAGTTTAACGATCACTGAAGCAGTAGTCATGGAATTGGAGCGTTTCCGTATCATCACACATATGTATATATGTATACATCTACACAGTTTCTGCCACTCTCTTGGCCTTTGATGTGTGGCTCTAGTGTTTTAGTCTCTCACCCTCATCTTCCCAGCTGGCACTTAATAAAATACAAGCATCACAAGACTTGGATTAAAATGCCGATTTCATTGTTGCCAGTTCTATTGGGCAGAATTGAATAAATCTTCCCCTCCCTGAAAAGCTTCTAGATTTCTACTTACAGTACTGATTAAAACATTACCAGTAAGGCTGTATGTACTCAATTACTAGCAAGACTGTACTTTTCAAAAAACATACATCTTATTTGCAGTCTGAGTTAGTCTTCCATAACTGCTATGCTTTTTGGGGGTTTTTTGGTGTGTGTTTTTTAATTTTTTTTTTAAATCATTCTCACTGCCTGGTCAAATTGCATACTACTAAGTGAGATACTTTACAGAAATCTACTATATTATTACTATCTTTAAGCTACCTTCATCAGCAACGACACTGAAAGAAATAAAATTTACCATAAGCCCACAGTGATATGCATTAATTATATTACTCTTCTTAATTATTTATTAACTGGATTCTATATTAACCATTCCATTAACTTGCTCTAGATCCACATCATGCTCACAAGCTTGTAATTACCTAGATTTTCTCATTTACTTCTGAAAACCTCCTTAGTTTTTTCAGGTCTTCTGAAAGCTGCCATAGTTTCCCAACAAACTGAAAAAAGGATACATATGTCCCCCAGCCAGCTCTTTTAAAATAACTGGATACAAATTACACAGAATTGCAAATATGAAAATACGAATCTTAGTATCAACTCATTAATATCATCCTATATTATTCCTGATATGGAAATATTTAATAGTCTCACCTATACCAAACATCTGTCTCTTCCCAGATACACAACAGAAGTGCTTATTGATCTCTTTTTAATTAACTGTTACTAAAGCCAAGATTTCCCTCTAGTAATGAATCACTATGAGAATTCCTGCAGCTCTGGTTTACTCAGGAAAAAATCTTACCCCTTTTATTAGCAATATTGGCAATAGCTTGCTCTTTCCATCTGTTTTTCTTGATTAAACTCCTACATTCTTAACATCTTGCTTATATTCAGTATTATTTTTTTTTTATGCAATTCTAACCTTAAGTCTGCTTGGTGTCTTAATTAATGTGATTTTCCTTCTGAAAAGAGGTGGCGGCTTTTTCAAACAAGGGTTGATGCTTACAGAAATATTCTTACTTAACATTTGTAGTTTTCTGCACTTTTTTTCCCTCATGGTGGTTTCTAATTGTTTTCTCCTTGGAAGAACTGACTTTAAAGCTACAAAGACAGTGGTTGCAGATAACATCATGTTTGCAGATAACGGTATAAACTATCATGATTTCTTGTACAAAAGTTACACTGATTTTTAGGTTAGTGATCTGTTGTTTTTCATATGCTAAGATGACTTCTTAGGGAATCTGCTTGTGCCAGACACAGCATTTTTTGTTAGTGAGAAATCTTTTGTCTCTGAACACTTTGTAGGTAGCACTGTGTCTCCCCTCCTCTGCCCACGTATGTTACTCAGAATTTAGTTACTCATGATAATGTTGATTTTCACCCCCTCCTCTTTTGTTACATGCAGATGCAATTGTCTTGGGATTTTATTTTGATTCAGTAGATTGTGGTAGACACTTATAAATACTAGGTAGTTTACTAATATGATACATCACTGATTTCATAAGCATTTGGCATCAGGTTGCTCTTGAGCTGGCAGAAACAAACAGTGTAATTTTTGCCATAAATTGCCATTTTCCTTTCTTTTTTCCAAGTTGTTCCTTTATAAACACCTTAGAACAATTTTTTTAACAACTCAAGAATTAGACTCCCCCCAGCAGCTTTCAGTAGCACCACCTAGGCTTTCTGGTTTATAGCCCAAGCTCCCCGTGTTGTTGTGCAAACCAATAAATTACCTCTTTATTATTCTCTAACACCAACGAGAGTTTGGGATGCTGAAGACCTTATACGGCCAGCGTTAGTCTGCAGTAGCAGTGACAACAGGATGGGGTACCAGATGTTCCTACTGATCCTGATGACAGCACTTGCATTGGGACAGAGTCTCTGCTAGAGCTGTAGCGTGTGCTGCTGGTGACATTGAATCAATGTGGATATAAGATGCATTTGGACTCACCCTGTTGTGGGGCCATTCTGCAAAAAACTAGGGTGGCCTTTTGATGCTGACTGCCACCCAAACTGCATCACATCTCACCCTCGTTTCTAGGAAAATGAGAAATAATAATCCCGTGAAATGCCCTGACTTTAATGAAAAGACATTTTTTGAAATGTTTCCAACCATCTCAGTTGCTTGACCCACTTTCTGAACGACTGCACCCTCTAATGGGGTAAAACAGACTGACTTTCAAAGCAGCCAATTTATTATTATATTGTTTATATCCTCCTAGTCCTTATAGGCATAATACAACAGCCCCTTCTTGTGACAGCAAAACAAGCTCAGTTTTGCTGAATGTAGATTACGGGGGAGGTGTGAATATCCAATAAAGACTTTATACGATTCGTCTCTATGCTGAGTTAATGAAAAGTATGTAAATAGCTGTATACCTTCATGGTGAAATGAGAAAGGAATTCTAACAAAATCATAGAATAGAAAGGAGAATTTATTTCACTTCTAAGTCCATAAAAAAGTATGAATTTTTTTTTCTTATTGCATGAAGCCATCTCACTTTACCAAAGCTTTGTGGGGAAGTAAAAGTTCGAACAATAAAAGTGAGATGAAACAGACACTTAACCATGATGTTGCCTCTTGTCCAACAGGTAATTCTCTAATGGACCAATGAAAGCCAACGATGACAAGTTGTGGTCAACAGTCCTTGAATGTGCTGATGGTGCTGCTTTCATTACTCTTGTCAGCAGGTAATTTTTATACTTTCAATTTATCTTTCACTGATGTGTGCCACAGGGAAAAATTAGTTGCCATTTAATACTGGGTTCTTGCAAAACAAACAAGATCAAATGGAATGTTCATTGAGTAGTAAATAAATAGAACCTCTTTGTATTTAAGAGCTGGAAGCTGGAATTTGAAGTGCAATGGAAAATTCAGTTTAAGAAGGAAAAGGTGGTGGGATGCTGACATGGTAAAGCAGGCTGAAAATTTAACAGAAACAAAGCTACTGTTTTGATATACTAGTTTTTCAACTCATCTGAAAAAAAAAAAAAAAAGGCAAGCTCTACACCACCGTACAATCCAACCATTTTGCTAAATAACCCTCTGTTGGAAGCAGAGCAAGTCAGGTTTCAGTTGTGGGGTTTTATGTGTGTGCACAAGAGTATGTAAGCATGTGAAGGACTGAACTTGGAACTTCAGCTGTTCTTGAGGTGAATACATGTTAGATACAATGTAACTTCTCTTATATATATTTAGAAGAATAATACATGGCATCATGGTATGCAAATAATTATGTTCTTTTCCTGAATCTAAAGAATCGACTGGACCAGGGAGTGGTTCCAGAGATTTTTTTTTTTTTTTCTGCTGATGCTTGGTAGATCTGCCCTGGATGTTTGCTGCTAGCACACAGAAAGGATTTGTGCAGAAATCTGTCAGTTGTTAGATTGAGAATTAGTTGAATGCTATGATTATTAGTTGCATTTGTTCTTCAGGAGTTATTTAGGACATTAAGGTTTTCTGTAATTAAGAATGAGTATTTTTTAAAAGGAATTAAAAAGGTTCTTAGTCCAAATAGATTTGATCCTATGAGTTTTTAACTCTCAGTACAACCTCTTTTATCATCTGTTCTTGAAGCACTTTTTAATCCAAAAATGATTTTTTTCCATCACTACTCCTTATTCCCTTGTATCACATCCCTAACCACCATGCTTAAAACTTTACCAGGCATTATATATCTTAAAGTATCTTTGTGCTGCAGTGGGAGTTGTTGCTACTCTGTCTCCGTCATGCCTATAATACTGTGTTAGATCCTCATCAGCAAGCTGAAGTGTGTGTTTTGTTGCCCACAGTCTCATTGCTTGTCAGCGAGTGTTCTGGTTGATTCTTGCTAATGATAGTTCATTATTTAGCTATAACTGACACAGTCCTTTTGCTAACCCTGTTATAATATTACCAAACGGACTGCTTCTCTGCCTAATCTTAAAGGCTGTTTTGCTGTACAGTCCTTCCGCTGATGTCCCTATGTATGGCGCTGCATCCCCAGTTATCCAACTGCCCTCCTACTCACAGCATCAGGCAGAGGGGCTGGAGCAGCTGCTTTGTTGTTTTCCAGGTCAAGGTGACTTCAGACAGCTATTTCCCTGGTGCAGGGATGAAGCCAATTATTCAAGAAGACTTCAATGAATGTATCCCAGTGATCAAACAGCACATAACTTTTCCAGCTGCACCAGTCTCTCCTGTTGATTTTTGTTAAGTTTTCATACCTTTACCACTCTTTATATGGGAATTCTACAACAGACCTCCTGAGATCCTCCTTCTACAACCATTTTCCTATGTTCCAAATTTCCTATGTTCCAAATACCTATGTTGCAGCTGACCGGGACACTGTGATTACATCGTGTGTGCCAATAGAAGTAGCCAGCTGCTGGTATATATACACACTTACTCCCTCAAACCCAGACATAAAGCCAGTGTTCTGACATTTTTCTCTCTTAGAAGAGAAGTACTGCCTCTGAAGGACAATGTTTTTGTTTGAAACTAATTACATATAGCTTTTACTTCTTACATGATTTATCTATTAACATCACAAAGTATTGTCTTTGTAAATGTGTACCGTATCTTCTTGTTGCTCCTTGGCTATTAGTATTTTATTATCTGACATCCATCATTAGCATGTAGAGTACAGGCTTAATTTGAAATTATCACAAGCCTTTCGTGCCAGCCTAACTCTGCTCTTCAGGGAACGTTACTGCTGACATCTATAGGAGTGGGTTTAGGTCACTGTTAACTTGCACACATTTTACAGGAGGAAAATTATTCTTTATTGTTTTGCAGCCAGCATGAATGTAAATTTTTGTCCAAGACAGTTCAGCTTCCATAAAGGAAAACTACTGGCTTTATGCAGTGAGAATGACAGGGCGGGAAAAAAGGATGCTAGTCTTACTAGTATGATCTGAACATCATTTTTAAACTGAGCTGAAATGAAAATCTAATGGCAAGACTCCTTTTGAGTTCCCTAGATTTATAGACTTCTGCCTGTAAGATCATGCTTTACTTCCAAGTCTTTGATACACTAAGATTCATAATCTTAGTACCAAATTTCTAAAGATCTGTATGCATAGTTGAAAACCGCACTTAACAATTGGAAGTGTAACTTTCACTGGCTCCACAGGCAGAATGAAAGTAAGAGCACGAGTAACAGAAAAGTTCCCAGAGCCGCTGTTCTCAGAGCCTGCTTTTGTTGTGTCAGAAAAGGAGAGAAGCAGCGACAGTGGCGGTGAAGCAGAGGTGTGGTCAGATACCAAGGTCGTGACTCAGAATGAGGATGAAGTTTGGCAGCTTCAGCTTAGTTAGGAAGGAGATGCATTTGCCTAACGTGGGCAAAATACTCTCAGGGCAGGGACAAATAACACTGAAAAGCAAGGCTTCTGTTCGGAGTCGGTAGGCTACGGCTCCATTTTGAAAAAGGCTGAAATTGCATGGAGAATACTGAAACTTCAAACTGGTTTTATTTCAGTGCTATCAAGATCACAATGGCATACAATTTCAGGATTTGTGAACACTTACCAGTTGTACTAGCTGCACAAGGAATGCAGAACAAAGGGAGGGGCAGCGTGCAGTCGTGCCAGAAGAATACCCTTGCTGACCACTAACTCTTAGGTTTGCTTTGCGGTAATGTTGATACTTACATTCATTTAATGGATTGAAACACATTTATAAAATCAGTAATGACAGCAAGGCATGTGTTAACAAGCAAAAATTGACAGATTATTTGCACATTACAATATTTTTCTTTGAAGTAGGAAATGAAGCAATATAGCTCCATATAGCAAAATTATCAAGAGGATCTCAAATGATTGGCATTGTGCTAAGCAAAATGCATACATGTGAATATTTCTGTGGATCCATATGGAAAGCTTATAAAGACCAGCCATTCTGAAAGCACTGGGGCTTTAAGAATTTAGTAGCTAAATTAAAAATTTAATCAGCATTACACAGACCTCTAACTGTGAACAGATAGGGAAGTAACAGTTTGATGCACGCTGGCTGTTTACTTTTTAAGGTACAGTAGATAAATCTTAAGATGAGCTTAAATCAGTCATTTGAAGCATGGCAGACTATTCTCCTCTTGAAATTAGTGGGAAGAGAGATAGGAGCATCTGTATCTCTATCACTTACCTGTTCAATAATACTTTTCAAAAATAGTATGAGAATTTGCACATGCAATTCTACTTTGTAAACAGCTGTCATCTTTGCAACAGACAACTTAAGAGCCTTTCAGGTATAATACTTTCATCTGAAGTATTTCTGTAGAAACAAGGCTCTTTAATCCTCAGGATTTAAGCAGAGTCAGGAAAAATACTTTTTTAAAAAAAAAAAATTACACTTTGTTTCTTGGATCTCTGAGTCTCAGAGAAGAAAAGACAGCAAGTAAAATTACAGAGATTACAATAAATTGATAAAGTGTTTTCACAGTGTAGTAGATCTGGCTGGGATGGGGTTAATTATCTTCACAGCAGCCCCTATGGTGCTGTCTTTTAGATCGGTGACCAAAACAGTGTTGGTAACACACCAGTACTTTAGCTGTTGCTGAACAGCCGTTACGCAGGGTCAAGGCCGCTTTGGTTTCTCACTGTGCACCTCAGCGAGGAGGCCGGGGTGGGCTGGAGCCTGGCAGGGGACACGGCTGGCACAGCTGACCCGAACTGGCCAAAGTGACGCTCCATACCATCTCACCTCACACTCAATAATAAAACCGGGGTGGGAGTTTATCCAGAAATTGCTCGGGGACTGGCTGGGCATCAGTCTGCTGATAGTGAGTGATTGCATTAGCATCACTTGTGGGTTGTTTTCCTTTGTTGTTGTTTGAGTTTTTTTCTTAGGCATCTATGAAACAGTCTTTATCTCAACCCATGGATTTTCTCGCTTTGCCCTTCTGATTGTCTTGCCCATCCCACTGGGAGGGGGAGTCAGCAAGCAGCTGTGTGGTGCTTAACTGCCTACCAGGGCTAACCCACCACACACTGACTACCAGATTCAGACTGTAATTCAATCACCATGTTATGCTCTTATTTGTGCATTTATTTTCATCACTGACACACATTTTACTATTTAAGGATTTGCTTAGGACTACATTTTATTACAGACATCACTCCTCCTCTGACCTGATGTTATCTTCATTCTCCCTTCATTCTGTAGTCATCCTTCCCCCAGTTTTCATCCCCAAAGAAGTCTGGGATTTGTTTTCCTTTTAAAATGAGCAAAGGACCCGACTAGGGATCAGGGGACACTTTCACATGTGCTGTTAAGTAAACCACTTTGCAGTGACGAGCAAGCTAAACTTCTTAGGGTCCTATGGCCCTCTGCTGCATTCTCACAATGCAGTGTCTCTCTCTCAGCCCTGAATAATGTCAGAAGCATGGTACTATTCAATTGCTTATGAAACACAAAGAACTCGGTTTAATTCTTGTAACGGGCACTAGATGTATGTAAGTCAGGTATAACCTTGCGGGACTGCTATTCACTTGTGATAGCTTAACACAGGTGTAATTCACCTAAGCTAAGTTGTAGTAATAACATACAAAAAAATGACATTTTTGCTATCCTGTTATTTGCAAAGCTAGTTCTAGCAATAAGTATCTTCCATTAAATTGTCCCAAACTTGAAACCACCATCTATACTGGACGCTTCAAAAATTATTAACATGTAAGTAGTTGTAATAATGTAACTTTCGAAATGAAAAATAAGTTAATATATCTTTAGCCGTAAAAGGCATTATACCTGCATTTTGAAAAATATCATGATTTTGTTGATATGCATGATAAACAAAATTTGTGTTGCACTCTGAGGCTTTGCAGGCATCAAAGAAGAAAATTTTGTTTCCTAGGGGCAGCTGATATAATCAAAGTGCAGATATTCTAACTAAGAGGGAATAATTCAAGATGGCTAAAAAGTGAGAACTGTCAAACTGATCAATTCAGTTATATTTTCTCTGTGGCTGCAACTGAAGTAGTACATACATTAAGCAATCTAATTCTGATAAGAAATCTCTAGATTCAGTGAAAGTTATCCTTCAGCTGGTTAGGGAGAGCACTGGACAAGGTAGGGAGAAGAAACCCAAACATAAATGTTCAGGACATAAGCAACCCCTAAAAGAGAAGAATGGGAGGACATTTTTCTTACTAAAGAGTTTATTGCACAGCTGGTTTGGTATAGCACATATGTATCTTCCTTTGAAGCACCTGAATCTGGCCATTTATCAGAGGAGGATTAGATGGGTGCTCTTGTGCCAGATACTGTAAATAAAAATACCGTGGATAAACATCACTATTGGAAGTGCAGTGCTACACTAAGAAGGCTGCCCCTTCGCTTGCATTTATTAGGTCCAGTAATAAGACTTACTTTCTGTTTGTTGACCTCAGGCATGGACTCACTTTTTTTTCCTGGTGATGATGACTAGCAGAACTACACGCATTGTAATGCACATAGCGTACCCTTGTCGACTGGTACCAAACATCTACAGGACACCTAGGGACCTTTATAGGTGCCTAACCGTGTGCATCTAATGGCATTTGACTTGCCCCAGATCATCTGTGTGTGCACCGGGCCTACAAGAGACCTGCATCTCCTCCACTGAAAGCTGGAGACCAGAGCGAACAGCCGAAGGAAATCTTAGCTGGCACTGGAGATCTGTAGTTAAGTAACTGAGTCAAGCTCCTGTTCTTGTTAGAAATCAAATACTTAGTTAAAAGTTCTACTTAGCTTGTGAATTTCTCCCATGCCATGTGTGTCTTCCATTATTTTTGAGATTTAACTTTTCCAAAACCAAATTATAGGTAGTTAAAACTAAAATGACGATGGGACGGAGTGCAACCTCAGCAAGTTTCCTGTTGACACAGAAGTGGGAGGAGTGGCTGGTAGGCCATAGGGTTGTGCTGCCGTCCAGAGGGCCCTGGACAGGCTGGGGAAACGGGCCGACAGGAACCCCGTGAAGTTCCACAAGGGAAAGTGTGAAGTTCTGCACCTTCCTGGGGAGGAACAGCCTCAGGCACCAGGACATGCACCGGGACACGGGGGCCAGCTGGCTGGCTAGAAAGCTCTTTGTCTTTGTCGCTACGTTAGTAGGAGAGCTGCCAGCAGGCCGGGGGAGGTGATCCTTCCCCTCTACTCTGCACTGGTGAGGCCACAGCTGGAGTGCTGTCCCCAGTTCCGGGCTTCCCAGTACGAGACAGATGGAGCTACTGGAGGGAGTTCAGCAAAGGGCTGCTGAATGATGAATGTGACTGGAGCATCTCTCGTACGAGGAAAGGCTGAGAGAGATGGGACTGTTCCGTCTAAGGAAGAGAAGGCTCAGGGGGATCTTACTGATGTATATGAATGCCTGAAGGGGGGATGTAAAGAAAACTGAGCCAGGCTCTTTTGGGTGGTACCCGGTGACAGGACTAGAGGCAACAGGCACAAACTGAAACAAAGAAGGTTCTCTCTGAACCTCAGCAAACACTTTTTCATTATGAGGGTGACTGAGCCCTCACAGTTGCCCCTGTGGCAACCTGCCACAGGTTGCCCAGGGAGGTTGTAGAGTCTCCATCCTTGGAGATACTCCAAAGCCATCTGGACGTGGTTCTGGGCAACTGGCTGTAGGTGGCCCTGCCTGAGCAGCGGGGTTGGAGCAGGTGACCTCCAGAGGTCCCTGCCAACCACAGCCATTGAGGTTTTTCAAAACCTAATCCTGGAACACATTCATTATTGCTATGTTAATTAAGAGGGGTGCAGGGAAATAAGTACTTGTTCAAACAAATACATGTTCATGCAATTACATACTTTGTGGATTTTGTGACAGAATTTGAACATGCAGATTTGCTGCAAGAGTTACAGAGGGTTTTGAAAACCTAAGTCTAAAGAAAGACAATTTCTTTACTGATTATAGCATCCTCAGATTTGGAACACACATTTTTCCCAGGCAGGGCAAGAACAGGTATGTAATTAGTCTTCTCCATATCTGTGTTCCTTTAGAAACAGCATTCTTCTAGCACTTTCAGTTCCTGACTGAATTAATCTACCAAAAGTTGTTCTCTTTTAATAAAGCAATGATGACGGGGGTGGGG